GGGGGCTCTCTCTCGGTCTCCCTCTCCCTTTTTCTAGAAAATATGTAAACACATCTCTCAAAAGAGAGAAGAGGATCTGTGATCCAAAACCTTCATCAGATCCAAAAAGGGTCCAATGGTTCTTGTATTTTGTCTATCATTCATCTTTATCAAATAATAGAAGATCCGACTCGTTCAAGATCGGGTGAATCCTTCCTTTATCTACATTTTATTGCCATTTAATGTTATTCAATGCATCTTTCTTTATGTTATTAAATCTGGCTATAATCACGCCCAATATTTATACTCGGCCATATTTTTTTCTACTCCTATTATTCGTCTCGGATCTAGAGTTAATTATCTTTAACTAGGATTTACCTCTTCATTTATTTGATTGATTTGTTTAAAAAGTGTTAAACAACTTTTGAGTCAAATAATTTGGCGCCGTCTGTGGGGATTTTCTAGTTTTTATTAAAGGGGAAGGCATTCAAGAAAATATGAAAAGACACATGCTTTCAGTTTCTGCACGTTTCATTTCCTACAATACGTTCGTTGCTGAAATGCTGCGGTTGTGGGATCAGAGTAGACTGTTGGTAAGGTAACATATTCTACCTTTTTCTTTCTCTTTTCTTGCAAAGGCTATTGTGTTACCGTGTTTTTATTATAGCTAATTTTTTATACCTCTGTTTTTGTAAATAGAAATAATAATTGATATTTGATATTTTCTCTGATATTATTAAACACCTGAACTAAACTCACTCTCTTTTCATTCTCACTTTTTCCTCTTTGTACTACAATTGATTTCTTCTTTATTATGATTAATTTATTTTTTATTTTCCATCATTGATCATGTATTTTTCTCCTCCTTTTTTTATGTATTTATTTGATATTTGCTTTTGTACAGGTTTGTTTAATCTCCTCCATTTGATTCTATATTTTTTACGTTTAATTGCATATTAATATGATGTAATTACCTTAAATGGCTAGAAACCGAATGAGGAAGCATTCAAATTCCAAATAACCCCATTAACACCATTTGTGTATTCAAATTCACATATACTGATTTAAATGGATTGTTTCATATATATTTTTTGATAATTATTTTCGGGTCAGCTTGTGCCCACGAGTGAATTATTTCATATTTAATCTATATGTTTATTACGGAAAACCTTTTTGTCTAAAAAGTTTATATTGTATGTTAGAAAAATCACAAAAAAAAATGATAGAATCATAAAAAGTTTGTTTAGTATAGATTAAGGTTTTTTTAAAAAAAAAAATTATGACATTAATATTTCTTATATTTTAAGTTTCTAATTCAGCCGGAAAAATACCCTAGTTTATACATATTGGACGCTTTTCTATTTCAGCTTCTTACGACCAATCTCTCTCTCTCTCTCTCTCCCCCCCCCCCCCCCCCNCCCCCTCCCCCCCAACACACACACACACACCCCAACTTTGAGAACGCAACTGAATTAGCCATCAGAGGAGTATTAGAAGCACTTCATAATTCATACTCAGGTTCATATCTTGCTTTTATGGTTCTGGTTTAAATCAAGATTGAATTTTTATTTTCTGGGTATAATTAAATCAGCTGAAATTCAATTGGGGTTTTTCTTAAATAATCTGATGGGGTTAATTTTTATTGGTGTTAACGTTTCATGTTCTGTCTCATACTAAGCTTTTTTTAGGCTATTCAAAATTTAGTACTTAACTAATATTTAAGTAACTTATTTTTAGGTTTCCGTTGTGTTTATAATTTACCAAGGCAAAGGTTAGGTTCTGCAAATTGTGGGAACAAGCTATTAAGCTTATTTGGGCTACTAGTTTTATGTCAAAGTTGTGTGTTTATCGAAGTCAGTAGATAGGCTTAATAGAAGCAAAAGTTGATGAGGTTCTCGGTTCTATTCTTTTGATATTTTTTCCTTTCATAAAGTATTTGCGGACCGGAAACGACCTCTCTACCTTTACCAGGTATGGGTAAATTCTGCGTACACACTACCCTCCCCAAACCCCATTATGTGGTCAGAGGTGGAGCCAAGATTAGAATTTTATGGGTTCTCCCCAAACCCCACTATGTGGTTGGAGGTGGAGCCAAGATTAGAATTTTATGGGTTCTGAAATTATCATCGAACCCATAGCTCGTTCAGTTACTGGGTTCGCAATTAAATAGTTATATATATTTATTGAATTTCTTAATACAAATATAGTTGGGTTCATCGAACCCCTGTTTGCTTCTCTAGCTTCATCGCTGTATGTGGGATTAGACTGGGTTTTTTGTTGTTGTTGTTGTTTATCCTTGCTGTAGAATACAATTCTTTGATATTAAGAGGATATTTACGAATGATTTCTATTAGGACACACTCTTTAATAATCTTCTTACAGTTGTGGCATGTTAAATTCGAGTATGTCATCAGTAGTTCTGTCCAAATAGTTTGGAGATCTTCCTCATCTTTGTATTCTTGTTTATTTTCTACAGGTTCTTATTGGCGATTACCGATTAGTATAATATGATGCCTCGTATGGGCAAAAAGCATTGTTGTGGATCTTTATTACCTCTTGATGTGCTTGGTAACCTTCCTGAGAATGTAATTGATGATATTCTTATGTGTTTGCCTTTGCAAGATGCTGTGAGGACAAGCATCTTATCCAATAAATGGAGATATAAGTGGTGCAGACTTCCAGAGTTGACGCTTGATAAAACACTTTGGAAAAATAAAAAGGATTTAAGATTCCTTACAATTTACTTTAGAAAGATTATCCACCACATTTTGACCCTTCATTCAGGACCAGTTAAAAAGTTCGCTCTCTGTATTGATTTTTTGGAAAGTTCTCCAAGTAATATTGAGGACTTGATGATTTTTCTCTCTAGAAATGGCATCGAGCATCTTCTTCTTAAACTTCCTATCGAGAGGAACCCATACGAATTGCCTTCTTCATTTTTCACATGTTTGCAATTGAGGCATCTGACTCTCCAAAATTGTCTTATACTTCCTCCACCATCCTTCAAAGGATTTGATAGGTTGATTAGCTTGGAATTACGTGATGTAACAATCTCTTCTAAGTTGCTTTGAAAGTTTAATCTCTCATAGCCCGTTGCTTGAGCAATTGGTGCTGCAAATTTCAGACAGTTTAACTGACGTCATTGAAATTAATGCTCCCGTGCTGAGAACCTTCAACTTTACAGGCTGTATAAGTTGTATCTGCTTAAAAAGTGTTCCTCTTTTGGCGAAACTTTCACTTAAAGATGCAGAATTATACTATTTGAAGGCAGCAGGAAAATGTGATATTGCAAAGTTTTTTGAACCTTTATCTACTCTCGAGCATCTCCACCTGGCTAACTTGGTAAATGTTGCTTGATTTTACTTCATCCTAATGTATTTTCCATTGAAGGAACATCTTCTGCACTTTTTAATCATCCTGATTTTTGGCATTTTCTTCCTAGTTCTTGTCTCCTGGAGCAGGTGAAATACCACCAAGTATTCCCTTTGTTCTTCACTCTGTCAAACGTCTTTGCCTATCTGGTATGTATTTCGATCCATTGGATGTGGTCACATCTGCTCTTTGCTTGATAAGAAGCTTCCCAAATTTACAATCTATGGAAATTCAGGTTCTTAGTGATTTGACTCTTTCTTTCTCTTTCTTATGCAGTGGTTATCTTGTTTTCTTATTCCTTTTTATCCTCAATAAATTCAGATACTTGAGCTTTTTTTACTATATCTTAGGTGGCGTTATTTTACAATGATGTTCCTACTCCAGAATCTCTTCAAGTGGAACGTTTCTCAAATGTGACGTTTTATCACCTCAGAGAAGTTAAGTTAGAAGGTTTTATTGGCACAAAGCCTGAGATGCAGCTTGTGGAGCTTCTCTTAGCCAAATCTCCGGCGCTGGTGAGAATTCTAATATTCAAACTTGAAGTGGTAATCTAGGAGTTGAAATGAAGTTGATTCTTCGAGGAATTTGAATATTCTTGGGATAAGAATGGACCCCAAAGTACTTCTAATAATCAGGAAAAACATGAATAAGTGTGAATAAAAAGCCCAAAATAAAAAAGCAGGACAATTAATTTATATGTCAGCGTATGTGTCAAGAATTCTTGTCTTATTTACTTCTGCCTATTTAAAAATGGAGGCTTTTTTCAATTAGAGATATGTGTGAAGACAATTAATTAGTGCATTTTGTTTACTTATATTTTGAATTTGAAATCTTAATAATGCTCGTTCATTTCTAGAGAGCTGAAACGTTCTGAAGTCATTACCGAAACCTGAGAAGGAATTAGTCAAGACTGATGATTATTGACTATAAGATTGAAGGACGTGTTTCTTGCCGCAGAGATATAAAGAATGCAATTTATGAATATTAAGAGGAGATGGATTAGTGATTCATTTAGAATACACCCTTTCTTTTCTTCTTACATTTTTGGCATGTTGATTTAACAGTGTTCATAGAAGTTTGATGTCTGTGTACTCTGTACGGACAGTTTGAGGATTCCTTACGTTTGATTAGACACTTTTGGAAACAGGAATTGCCTTAATACCCCCTGCACTTGTATTTACAAAAATCATATGCCATTTTTTGACACTTCATGACGGACCAACTCCACTTGAATTTGCCATGTCTTTTGAGTCATTTTCTGCTCTCGTGCATCTTATCAAAGAAATGGAGGTATAATTGGTGCAGACTCCAGAATTGACGTTTTACCAGACACTTTTGGAAACAGGAATTGCCTTAATACCCCCTGCACTTGTATTTACAAAAATCATATGCCATCTTTTGACACTTCATGACAGACCAATAACTAGGTTTTCGCTCTCCATTCACGATCATCTTGGACATTGTCCTATGATCGACAACTTGATATGTTATCTCTCTAGGAATGGAATTCAGCATCTTGTTCTTCAACTACCCAAGGATTATGAGTACAAATTGCCTTCTTCATTTCTTACTTGTTTGCAGATGAGGCATTTGACTCTCCATAATTGTTTAATACGTCCTCCATTGGCTTTCAAAGGATTTTATAGGTTAATTAGCCTGGAACTACGTGAAGTAAAAATTTGTTCTAGATTTCTTGAGAATTTTCTATCTCATTGGCCGTTACTCGAGTACTTGGTATTGCAGATCTCATATAGTTTTTTAAGCAATATTCAAATTATTGCTCCCTGTTTGAAATCCTTTGACTTCGCAAGAGGTTCTGTTGTTCTAATAAATTCTCCTCTTCTTGTGAAACTTTCATTTGTAAATACGGATTTTTCTATGGGACATGGAAAATATGGTCTTGCCAAGTTTTTCGAGTCTTTTCCTGCTCTCAAGGCATCTCCACTTGGATTATTGTGGTGTCCAGGTAAATGTTGCTCCATGATTTCATTATAGTGCATCTTTTGTCGTTGTTCTTTTGGCCTTTGAGTGGTCCTGATTTATGGCATTGTCTTTTTAGTCCTTGGTTGCAGGTGAAGTACCAAAAGAGCTCCCCTCTGCTCTTACGCGTCTTTACTTCTCTGATGTTTGTGTAGATGAAGGTTGGACTTTATGTGCTCTTTGCTTGATCAGAAGCTCCCCAGATTTACGAGAAATTGAAATTCAGGTTTAAAAACTACTGCTACTTTTTTTCCTCTCTTTTCTGTATGTAATTCCTTTCTTATTTCATAATCTGTAATCCTCAATGTTAGTTCAGACTGATGGTCTTTTATTAATTTGTAGTTGGACTATGAACTTTCCAATATATGGTGGTTAGATCAGGAGACCAGCTGTGTTTCTCTTGAAGTAAAAGGTTTTTCAAATGTGCCAATATTAAATCACCTAAGAGTGGTTAAGGTGATAGATACAACAGGCAAAAAGTCTGAAAAGTTGCTTATTAAGCTTCTATTAGCCAAGTCTCTGATGCTCGTAAGAATGGTAATTGAGACCAGGTTAGATTCTCCTGTAACAAGACTTGAGTTACCCACAGAGCTAATACAATTTCCGCGGGTATCACCTAATGCGGAAGTTATCTATATAGGTTCATAGGGTGCTATCCGGATCAGAGTCCTGTCTATCTTCGCTGGTCTTTTACACCACCATGATCTTTGTCTTAGATAGGTTGGAAGTTAATTAAGGCAAATAGAGAGAAATGAATGTGGATGGTGTAGTATATGGTGGTGTTTCGACATTGCCTTTTGATAGATAATGAATTTCAGTTTGGATAACAGTACCTTCTTACTGCATCTAATAAGAATGAGACGATGACAAATTTCTTGCTGTCCTATTTCAGAAGTTAAAATTTTTAAAACAATCCTGAATATGTGATCCAATTTCAATAGCATACACGATATTGCATCCTTCCTGCGCGTGTAATGTCACTTTCTAGCTTGTTCATCAGTCATAACAAAGCGATGAAGATTTGCACTCTTTATAATTGACCAACAAACCTTTGTTTGGGATTGATTTGATATGTTATAAGGGAAAATGCTTAAGTATCCCCCAACCTATGACCGAAGTTCCAACTACACATTTTTCCTTTTCGGGGGTCCTATAACCAGATTTCTGCTGGGAGGTGGACTACACGCCCTAGACAAGTGTATATTGCATTAAAAAATTATTTTCTGTTCTTTCCCTTATATTATTCTTTCTTTTTTCTCTTTTTCATTTACTTTTGTCCCCACCAAACTAGACAACAAAGTTTCACGCTATGTTCTAATTTTTGGCCCTTGTTCTGTTCCTTTTTTTGGGCTGCTAAGCTAGGCTTGAGGCCTTTAAATGGCTATTGTGGTGGTGACGTTTTGGATGGTTTCTATCACCGGTAATTGTGGGGGCATAAAAATGGTGGTTCTTATAATTAAGAGGCGAGTAATGGTGAATGATGTGAGTATATATATGTCTGTTGGGTAGAGGTGGTCGTTCAGGCAGTTTGGATTAGATATAAAAATTTCGATTCGGATTTTTGGTTTTCGGATTGAAGAAATAAAAATCCAAATCCAATCCAAATAAGTTAGGATTGGATCGGATTTTTTAAGTTCGGTTTCGGATTAATCTGTTCGGATATTTTGGATTTTTGTTTGAGCCTATAAGTTGAGATGTTTCTTTTTTCTTACAAAAAATGAACATCTAAATGAAGTATGGATGTTAAATTATCTAAAAAGTTTCTTATTCTCATTGCAATCATGCCAATAAAGTATTCAAGTAACAAAATCATCATCAAGAAAATACAACAGAGATGTTTACAAGGCCCATACAACAAAAACAACATACCTAGTATAATCCCATAGGTGAGGTCTGGGGAGGTAGAGAGACTGTTTCCGATAGACCCTCGGCTCAAGAGAAGGTGGAAAGGAAGAAAAGGGAAGAAGAAGAACAAGAAAGAGGGGGAAGAAAGACAGATGAGGGAGACAAAAGACGATAAGGAAAAAGAGGAGAAAAAGTAGCATCAGATAGTAACAATCAGGGAGCAACAATTTCCAGTAAAAGGGAGAAAGAGTAGCATCAAGTAATAATAATCAGGGAGCAACAATTTCCAGTAGCAATTTTCTAAAACACTGGACGTGGTTGCTAAGTACCAGATATAATAGCAAACTAAAAAGAAGTAACTTTCAACCAACAACAAGAATATTACTAGTAATACTGGTAACCTAGGAGAAACTCAAAACTACCTGTCAACCCACTACCTTAATCCTCGACCTCCACACCTTCTTATCGCTAGTCATGTGCTCGGTTAGGTGAAGCACTAACATGTCCTGTCTAATCACCTCTCCCCAATACTTCTTTGGCAACAGCCATGATTATTCTGAAAAGTTGCAAACCTCTTCAGAGGGTCACACCTGTTCCAACAGCCATGACTGTTCTGAAAGGTTGCAAAACTCTTCAGAGGGTCACACCTGTTCCAACAGTCATGACTATTCTGAAAAGTTGCAAACCTCTTCAGAAACATCACCAAGTTGGCTATAAATAGACCTTCAAATCCCAGAATATTTACTTACGAAATTTTCTGAATCTTCTTCTTCTTCTGCACAGAATATTCCAGTGTGTTTTACGACCATCTAGTGGTTCGCCGATCACCAGAGTTTTAGGTACCGATACACTGGTGAGTTAAATCGTTCTATCCTGGGAGGATATATTCCATAACCTCGGGTACTTGAGGGGAATAATTTCCTTAAGGACACACTGTGTATTCAGTGGGCTCGATTTGTTCCTTCAACGTTTCAAACATTATTTTGAAGTTCGAATATTATTTTTCAGAATTGTTTCTACTAACTTTCTGTTTTATTTTTTCAGAAAGATTATTATTTAATTTATTTACAGCAATACAGATTGATAACAATCAACTTGGCCTCCACTATGCCACTCCCACCTTGTCCCTTATAACTTCATTCCTGATCTTGTCTTTCCTGGTATGTTTACACATCCATCGCAATATCCCCATTTCAGCCACGCTCATCTTCTGGACATGGGACTTTTTGACGGGCCGACACTCAGCTCTATACAACATAGCCGGTCTAACCACCACCTTGTAGAATTTACCCTTAAGTCTGGGCGGCACATTCTTATCGCATAAAACCCCGAAGCTAGCCTCCATCTCATCCAACCCGCTCCATTGCGGTGAGTATCCTCGTCAATCTCCCCGTTGCCTTGGATTATGGACCCAAGATACTTGAAACTATCTCTTGTGGGAATGACTTGAGTATCAGTCTTTACTTCCACTTCTTCTTCATGCCTCTCATCACTGAACTTGCACTCCAAGTATTCAGTTTTCGACCTACTCAACTTGAAACCTTTTGGACTCCAACGTCTGTTTCCAAACTTGCAACCTAGCGTTATCACCATTTCACGTCTCGTCAATCAGAAATATGTCATCAACAAATAACATACACCACGACACCCTCCCTTGTATGTGTCGTGTCAGCACATCCAACGCTAGGGCAAACAAAAATGGGCTAAGGGCTGACCCTGATGCAACCCCATCTCCACAGGGAAATGCTCTGAATCTCCTCCCGCAGTCCTCACCGGAGTCTTAGCACCTTCGTACATGTCATTAATCACCCTAATGTACGCCACCGAGACTCAGCTGACCTCCAAACATCTCCATAACACCTCCCTCGGGACATTGTCATAAGCCTTCTCTAGGTTAATGAACACCATGTGCAAGTCCTTTTTCCTGTCCCTATACTGCTCCACCAATCGTCTCACAAGGTGAATGGCTTCTATAGTTTGACCGTCCCGGCATAAATCCGAACTGGTTCTCAGAGATAGATACACCTGTCCTTACTCTCTGCTCCACCATCCTCTCCCAAACCTTTATAGTGTGACTCAGTAGCTTGATACCGCTATAGTTGTTGCAGTTCTGGATATCACATTTGTTTTTGTACAACGGAATCATCAAACTCCACCTTCAATCGTCGGGCATCTTCTTTGTCTTGAAAATGATGTTAAACAGGCTAGTAAGCCACTCCAAGCCTACCCTACCCGCTACTTTCCAAAATTCTACCGAGATCTCATCAGGCCCAATCTCCTTACCCCTGCTCATCTTTCGTATTGCCACAACAACCTCCTCACACTTAATACGCCTACAAAATCCAAAATCTCTCCAACTCTCTGAGTTCTCCAACTCACCTAGCACGATGTTCCTATCCAATCCAAAATCTCTCCAACTCTCTGAGTTCTCCAACTCACCTAGCACGATGTTCCTATCCCCTTCCTTTAAGAGTCTATGGAAGTACTCCTGCCATCTACGCCTGATACACACCTCTTCCACCAATACCTTACCATCTTCGTCTTTGATGCACCTCACTCGATCCAGGTCCCGAGCCTTCCTCTCCTTAATCTTGGCTACTTGTACATCTTCCTATCCCCTCCTTTGCCCCCAAGATCCTCATACAATCTTTCAAAAGTTGCAGTCTTAGTCGCCGTGACCGCGAGCTTCGCCTCTCTCCTTGCCTTCTTATAACACTCCCTATATGACCTCCGCTCTTCCTTGCCCGTGCTCCCCATTAGCTTCAAATACGTCGCTTTCTTAGCTTCCACTTTACCTTGGACCTCCCCATTCCACCACCAGTCCCCCTTGTGGCCACCCGAGTAACCCTTCGAGACCGCTAACACCTCCCTAGCTACTTCCCTGATGCAGTTCGCTGTCGTGGTCTACATACTACTCGCGTCCCCACTATTCCTCCAGGCCCCCATAGCCAACAGCTTCTCCCCCAACTCCTGAGCCTTTCCCTTAGTCAAGGCTCCCCACTTGATCTTAGGTTGGCCGTACACCGCTCTCTTCTTCCTAGCTACCTTGACCTCCAAGTCCATCACCAAGAGCCCTATGCTGCGTCGACAAACACTCACACGGGATAACCTTGCAATCCGTACAAAGGCTTCTATCACCACTCCGGATGAGAAGAAAATCAATCTGAGTCTTGGCAACCCTACTCCGAAACGTGACCAAGTGTTCCTCCCTCTTCTTAAAACCCGTGTTAGCTAGCACCAAGTCAAAACCTTTTGAAAACTCCAACAACGAAGTACCGCCCTCGTTCCTAACCCCGAAACCGAACCCGCCATGCACCTCGTCATAATCCCTAGCCGTCTCCCCAACATGACCATTAAAGTTACTCCCTATGAAAATATTCTCGGACTGCGGGATACCACGCACAACCTCGTCCAAATCATCCCAGACGCGCCTTTTGACTTCCTTGCTTAGTCCCGCTTGAGGCGCGTAAGCACTAATCACGTTAAAAGTGAACCCATTAATCACTAGCTTAATAATCAACAGCCTATCATTCACCCTCCTGACATCCACCATTAACTCCCTTAGATCCCTATCAACTAAAATACCTACCCCGTTCTTGCCACCAACACCCCTCGAATACCAAAGCTTATACCCATTAACATCCCAAGCCTTCGTACCCCCAATCTAGTCTCCTGGACACATGCTATACTGATCTTCCGCTTCTGTAGAATCTTCCCCAATTCTATCAACTTACCCGTCAGTGTCCCTATGTTCCAGGATCCAACTCTCAACCTTGTGTAATCCCTCCCCCCTTGCCACCCATGCTTCCCGCCCCCTGACCCACCCGAGGACACGACCTTACACTACCATCTCTCAGAATAGCGGATAAATGCAAGCATGTCGAAGGAAATACAATAATCAAGGATGAAAGGCAGCTGGTGGTATATTAACAAATAGCAAATTCAAGCAAGAACGGTAGAACCTGGAGTCCCAACGGGTTTCGAGAAAGGTGTTGTCCGCAACAACTATGTTCCGAAAGTTCCCGCGCGCTTCTCCCGAGGATTACCTGAAAATCGTCTCCGTGCAAAATCCTTGTTGTCGTTGCTAGGTCTAGGAATCCGACCAGCAGTAATAACGAAAGGGGAAAGAGTATACGGGTGAAAGCAAAAGGTAATGGCTGCCGTCGCCGCTGGGCTAGGGCACGTGGGGATTCGAGAGGTGGGAGATGGAGGGGGTAGAATGAAAAACCAGAGGAGAAAGATGGGGAAAAAGAAGAAAAAGAAAGCAAGAGAAAGAGAAAGAAAGAGACGAACAAAAAAAAAGGGGGGGGGGGCAGTTCGAAAAAACCAGAAGAGAAAGGACAGGGACTTACTTGGGTCCGGTGGTCGTCGGTTGTACGCCGGCGACTGTCAGTGGTGGTGGGGTTGGGGTTGGAGCAGAGATACGTTAGATAGATAGAGAGACGTTAGAGAGAGAGACAAAAAGTAAAAGTATGACCACACAAAAGAAAAAACAGGAGCCACCAAATTTGGATCTCTAGTGTGTCTAAATAGAAAGTATTCTCATAGTAATTTAGTAACTAATATTGAATATATGATTATATGAGATAATGCCTCGTATTAAATGGGTTGGGTATTGGACTTGTTACCATTGGCATATGAATAATGGACTAAATATGAAGTATAAATATTTTGGTTTTTCGGATATCTAAAAATCCGAAGTGCCAAATCCAACATTCAATCCGAAATCCAAAAATTTTAAAAATTAAGTCCGTCGTCCAATCCGTAATTCGAGAATCCAAGCCAAAACTCCATAAAATTCAGATTTCGGTTTGGATTATGGGTTTGCCCAAACTATGCCCACCCCTACTGTTGGGTAAGAAAAAGGCTTCTTTCGGTTTGAAATTTCAAAACCTCTTTTTTTTTCTGGCAAAAAATAAAAAAATAAATAGATTTTCCGGTGATGGATATTTCTGAATGGTTTTGCTAAATATATGTATAAATTTTTAATGAAAGTGTGATTTGTGTATTCAAGAGGGAGAGAGAGGAAGAAAACTAACCGAAAAAATTAAAGATGAAGGCCATAAAAGTCGCCGGCGAGTGTTGTATATTGTTGACTGGAATAGTGAAGTAGAGGAGAAGAAGGAAAAGACAAAGACAAAGAAAAAAGAAAGTATACTTTTAAGTTTAACAAAATTAAGAAAGTAATATTTTAAAATCGTTTTTTCTTCTCACTCTCTCAAGAGTGATATACACACTCTACTACCTAAGCCTTTAGGATGCAATTAATTATACTCTAAAATAGTATAAGGAGGTAATAGGACCCTCGAAAAGGAAAGGTGTGCAGTTGGAACTTCGATATAGAATTTTTTTCCTAATACTCAATAAAACCTAATGCACCTTAAAAATAATCAAATATAATGAATATTTTATGATTCAGTGCGGCGAAGACAAAAAACACTAGGTGATTTCTTCTCATTTGTCCAACCCTTGGTGGATAGAGTTACCTGATATCTGTTGCTAGTCTGCGGTGGTAGGTATCCCGTTGAATTAGTCGAGGTGCGCGCAAGTTGACCCGAACACCACGGTTATAAAAAAAAAGTGCGAATGAAAAGTAGAAGTAGAAAGGAATCTAAAAGGAGTTGTCCCATATATGAAAAGGAAGAAATACTCTTCCCCGCTTTTAAGACCACCTTTGCCTATTTGAAACTCAATCTACAAAAGAATGTGATCAAATCTCCACTGACAAAAGCCCTGCAATGGCTATTATTTCTCCCAGTATATTTATTTTGACCATTAGAATATACACTATTTCTCCTACATATTAAAGCCAACTTTTCACTTAAAGGAATATTCTCATTCTGAGAAGCAAGGAAAAGAGGAAAAACTTTTAATCCAGGAACAAAGGAGAAGAAGAAGGTTTCTGGTACGCTTCGAGTTCTTTCATGGTTTCTTTTTTTAATACTCCCTAAATTGGAGTTTGTTTCAGTTATATAGATTCTATAATTGCACTCAAGGGTGTGGCCTAGACACCTAGTGGTCAAGGGTGTGGGTTGGGAACCTGCGGTCTTAGGCTCAAATCCGAGCAGAGACAAAAAACACTAGGTGATTTCTTCTCATCTGTGAAAGACTTGGTAGATAGACTTGGCACCTAATGCTGGTGGGAGGTAGTAGATATCCCGCGGAATTAGTTGATTTGCGCACAAGCTGGCCCAGACACCACCGTTATCAAAAAAGGAAAAAAAGAAAAAAAATATATTACGTAATTATGTTGAGATGAACTTTGTAATGTTATGTATTATGAGTGGATTATTCAGTCCCATTGTTTTTATATATTTATTTATGGTAATGGATAGTTCCATTGTGTTTATACTTTGAAAGCATGCTCAGGGTTTTTGCAGATTGTGGGAAATTAAATGTTACTGAGCTTAATTTGGCATGGAAAAATAAATAAACCACTAAATGCCATTGAAAATTTCGTAAAGTTGGAGTAGTGATTTTTATAAAACTTATCCTAATAATGAATGAACAATAATGCAAGTGTTAAAACTAGTACTCCTTCCATAAAAGAAAAAGGTAGCTCTTCTCTTCCAACTTAAGTCTACAATTTGGTATATACGGACACAATTATTAAGGTAACACTGGAGTTTAATAGTGTTGGAAAATGATATTGAGTTTGGTCCGCCGGCCCATAAGGGTGTTGATTTTGGCCCATTAGCCCATTAGCTTATCCTCCTCCTAAACCCTATTTATTACCTATAAATATACCATTATGGGTGAAAAAAGGTTAGCTTCTCTACATATCTTGGGGATTAGCAGGCTGTGGACAAAGAAAATTCATCTGTTTCCTACGGTCACACAAGTCGTGGTTGTTGCAGATCTGCTTTCGCTAACGAGAAACTCGTAAGTCTCCTAAACTACTATTTTGTTCAAATATTACAAATAACATCTAGACTAAGTTGCTCGGACTCTTCACATTCCGTACCACACCCGTGTCGACATGACGTGGGTGTGGGTAGGAGATCCCTATCGAATATGGTCAACCGATTTTGGGTGCTAAGACGACGGAAGAATTTGGGACAGATACAACGATTAATGAAATCAAAACAAAAGCTACGGTGAAATAGAAAAAAATGCAATACCTTTGTATGTAGAAATTTCTATATCAGATTTTTTCCTTCTATTTCCTTTTCGGATTCTGCTCTTGATTAATATTTTCTCCTTCTCTTAATACCCTGTAAGGTTTTCAATTAATGTCTCATGATTTAGACATATTCTTATAACTCTATTTTACATTTTTTAATTATTTTTAGCCGAATCCCCTTATCCGTACGTCGAAACGTACTCCCAAATCTTAAAGTTTAGATCATGAAGCATCTGACCTATATATCCACATTTGTACTGGATACTCGCACCCAAGTCTGAGCAACTAAGCATCTAGATGAATGTGGTAGTCTAAGAGTTAAAATGAAGTTGATCTTCTTTTTGAAGAATTTGAATATTAATGGGTCCCAAAATGAAGTTGATCTTCTTTTTGAAGAATTTTGAATATTCTTTGAAATATGAACGGGTCCTAAATTACATCTTTGGTAATCTAATAATTTAAAAAATATTAATAAGTGTAAATAAAAAGTGAAAGTAATTTTTATGAAACTTATCCTAATAATGAATGAACAATAATGCAAGTGTTAAAACTAGTACTCCTTCCATAAAATAAAAAAAAAGGTAGCTCTTTTCTTCCAACTTAAGTCCACAATTTGGTATATATGAACACAATTATTAAGGTAACGTTGGAGTTTAATAGTGTTGGAAAATGATATGAGTCTGATCAGCCCATAAGGGAGTTAATTTTAGCCCATTAGCTTATCTTCCTCATAAACCTTTATGGGTGTAGAAAAAAAAAGGGTTAGCTTCTCTACATCATCTTGGGGATTAGTAGGTTGCGGACAAAGAAAATTCATCCGTTTCCTACCGGTAATACAAGTCGTGGTTGTTGCAGATCTGCTTCCGCTAAGGAGAAACTCGTAAGTCTCCTAAACTAGTATTTTGTTCAAATACTGCAATTAGCATCCAGACGGACTCTTCACTTTCAGTACCGCACTCGTGTCGACATGACATGGGTGTGGGTATGAAATCCGTGTCGAACATGGTCAACCGATTAAAGCTAGGCTGAAATTGAAGAAATGCAATACCTTGCATATAAAAATTTCTGTATCGGTCCTTTTCCTTTTATTTTCTTCTTGGATTCTGCTCTTGATTAATATTTTCTCTTTCTCGAAATACCTTGTAAAGTTTCCAAATAATGTCTCATAATTTAGACATATCTTTATAACTCTATTTTACATTTTTGAATTATTTTTCACTTAGTCTCCCCGCCTGTATCCGTACCTAGATATGTACTCCGGAATCTTAAAGTTTAGATCATGCGCATCGGACACCTGCTCCCAAATCTGAGCAACTAAGCATCTTGATGAATGTTGTAGTTTAAGAGTTAAAATGATGTTGATCTTCTTTTTGAAGAATTTGGATTTTCTTTAATATGATGGGTCCGAAAGCACATCTGTGGTAATGTAATAATGCAAAAAATATTGGTAAGTGTAAATAAAAAGTGAAAGTAGACAGGAAAGTTAAAAAGGAAGAAAAATAAATTTGAGATAGTGCATGTGTCAAGAATTTCTAGTCATTAAGAATAGGAATAAAGACAATTTTTTGATGTTGAAGACCTCCATGCTCATTATTTCTTTATGGAAGATTCAGTTCAGAACTGAGAAGTTCATTCTTTTGGACCATTAGAACAGTTTTTACATCTTGCAAATTAAAACCAAGTTTTCACATGAAGGCCGGCCTACTCTACTATCTCCCTCTTAAAGAGAATTATAATCTCATTCCTTTGTGTGCTACTTTGGCATTCAAGATGTCATTATATGCACAAGAGATTGAAAAGTAAATTTGGCGAGCCAAAGGTAATTTTAATGACTAGAACTAACGGCTAGGAATGAATCATGGGAATATTTGGCAATTGAAAACTAATGGCTAGCTAGCTGGAAGAGGAGATTTTTGGGATAGTTTGAGTTAGTCTATTCTTAAGCAATTGAATGCAGAATCCTTCTTCCCGAATGCATATAGGAACCATCGTATTCAATCGCTTTCCTTAGTTGGCATATCTCCTTCCTTTTCATGTCTCACCTCTGCCTCCCTTCAAACATTTGAAACTTCTTGAAATTGTGCCCCAGCAGCAGAAGGCACGTTCAAATTCAAGAATCTTGGTATGCTTGTAAGTGCTTTCATGTTTTTCCTCTTAATAATCATTTCTTTTCCTTTTTGATTAATTTTAGTCCATGTAAAAAGGCTTTATCTTCTTGATCTGGTTCACCTTTCCTACTGAAAGTTGTATGCTTCTGTCTCGTCGATTTGATTTATAAAATTGAAACATATGGAATTATTTCTCAGTCGAAATTCTCATGTTATTTTCATCAGTTTCTGTTTTTTTGTTGACATCTTCCTTCAACAGAAAAGCCCAGTTCGTTTAGTTCATCCAAAGATGAGTTCCAGCAAAAGGGTTGGGAAGTCTTCTAATTCATCAGGAAAGCAGAAAGCTATATGCGAAACAACTACTACACCAATGGTTGATGATATAAATGTAGGCGTAGAAGATATGGGGTTGAACTCTGATCAAAATGATGGATGGATAGTGTGTGCTAGAAAGTCCAAGAACAAGGGTGGAAGTAGCAGTGCTGGAAAGAAGCCATGGATTCCTCAGAATCCCGCTCCAAAAGCCAAACTGGGAATGCGTAACAATATTGTTGGATCATCAGGACAGGGTTCTAGGAATAACTGGTCTACACCAAATTATCATCCTCGAAAACCTGCTGGCAGAGAATGCTACACACCATCACCCGCTGCAGTTCCTCCTGCCCTGAAGAATGGTTGGGATTGGTCATCTGTCGCTCGTTCCAATGAGGACCAAGATACTTATTCCCCTGTCGCTGATGATGTCAAGGCTTTCTGTGAACATGATGGGGAGGATAATGAATCGGATTTGCCTGATGATGACAGTGATGATGAGCTTCCGAGTGATGACGACTTTGATGATCAGTCGGATGTAAATGATGTGAGTCATGAGATACGCAAGGAAAGTCGTTGGTTCAGGAACCTTTTCAAATGTCTTGACAGTTTGACTGTCACTGAGATTATTGATCCGGAACGACAGTGGCACTGCCCTGCATGCAAAGGTGGTCCGGGTGCAATTGAGTGGTTTCCAGGGATACAGTCAGTGATGAACCACGCAAAAATGAAAGGATTTAGGATGAAATTACACAGACAACTTGCTCAACTTTTGGAGGAAGAGCTGTGTCGGAGGGGAACTTCTGTTGTACCTCCAGGTCAAGTGTATGGAGGATGGGGTGGCGGCGAATTTGAAGATAAGGAAATAGTGTGGCCACCGACAGTGATTATCGTGAACACAGTGCTTGAGAAAGATGAAAATGACAAGTGGATTGGAATGGGGAATCAGGAGTTGCGTGATTATTTCAGCTCTTATGCTGCTGTCAAGACAGCGAGAAGCTCATATGGTCCACAAGGCCATCGTGGTATCAGTGTGTTGATTTTTGAGACCACTCCGGTGGGATACATGGAGGCTGTACTTCTCAGTGAGCAGTTTTCTGGAAAAGGAAGTGATAGAGATGCATGGGAACACAATCCAGATCGCTTTTATCCTGGGGGGAAACGTAAGCTTTATGGTTACATGGCAGAGAAAAGAGACATGGACAACTTTAACCGGCATTCACATGGGAAATCAAGTCTGAAGTTCGAGATTCGGTCATTGAAAGAAACTGTTTGGAATCCAGCTATGCAGATGTCGGAGGATAATCAAGAGCTCATATGGTTCAAGAACCAAGCCGCTAAGCACCAAAAGCGGGCCAAAGCTACTGAAGAGTCTCTAAGACTGGTGAGTGAAAAGCACCGTCAGACAATTGAAGAGAACAAGATTGTCAGACTGAGAACTAAGATGCACCATGAACGGAACAAGGAAGAGATGGAGTATCTAGAGCAGTTTTTCAACGATCAGTTGAAAATGATTTACGATGCCAGGACTGCTGAGGAGGACAAGTTTGAAAAGATACAGCAGGAACAGCGTGAGATGATCTATCAATCTAATGCAACTATTTCTTTGGCTGAGGATCATCGACTCAGGGCAGAGAAAGTTGCGAAATTTATCAAACTTCAGGACAATGAAATGGAAGAATTTGTGGAAGAGAAGGATAGTCTGATAAGAGCTCATGAAGATAGGGTAGCTGCAATGAGACGCAAACACTGGCTGCAATACTCGGAAGAGGCAGTTGCACTTGAGAAGTATTTTGATCTCGAACTGGCTAAGCTGATGGGGAAGTACTCATCAAAGCAATCTGAGCAGGTCAACAGCAGTGATGCCGTATGACCCTATAGTAATACTATTCAAGCGCCATTTTAGCTTTAAATTTTTGTGAACTTGGGATCCTTCACTGAGTTTTATAATCCTGGTCTGTCCATGTGTTTTGATGATGCTAAAGAAATGATTCTAGTAGTTATATCCTAAAAGATATGGCTTGAACTATTTGTTCTAGAAGTAACGATGCACTCTAGCTGCTATTCAGTCGTATTTTCAGGGGTTCAGTTATTTATTTTTGGGTTTTGAAACCTGTCTGTCGCCTTATGTTTGATCACTTAGCTGGTTGCTTTTCTTGGTAATTGAAGGATTCTGCAGTATATGTCTGCTAATTCCTTTCTAATTATTACATACTCTACTGAAATTGTTTATGATCGACATATGCTCTATCCTCTACTAGTAATGCTTCAGTGTGATTTGATTTAACAAAATAAAAGGCCAAAGTACTTAGAGAAGACTTGAAAACTATAAATAGTGCCCAACAGTTGAAGACTTTAAGCACAACCAAGAGAAAGGCTAAACTCCATCTTTTTGGATCTTGGTAAGCGTAATTTTTGCTTCTGATCCCTTTTTATTTTTCGGGAGATGTTAGTTTATGAAACTAATCAAAGGATCATTTCAATTAGAACATACTGGCCCCTTTCTGTACTGTACTACTTTTGATCTTGGTAAGTTTAGTTTCACAGAATGTTTTGGCTAAATTACTTATTTCCATGACTTCCTGGTGTTCATCTGTCTCAGTGCAAAACAAGCTGTGGATCGAAAATGTTAACTTTTACTCACTCTAATACTCTTCAATTGATGAGGTTGCTTATAGTATTATCCGAAATTTTCAACATTGGCTTGTCAAAATAGTATAGTTAGGATATCATACTGAAGCAATGCCTGGTTCACACTACTAGTGTTTTCTTCATTGTTAACACAATTCATGTGCTATTATGGCCTGGGGTTCTGTAGAACTTTGGAATCAAGAATTGTATTTATATTTTCTGGGGGCATAATTAAATCAAATCACCTTAATCGATTTGGGCTTTGCTTAAAACTTGATGGGGTTAAAGTCGTCATTGATGTCGCATGATGGGGTTGGGGTTCTAAGGCTTTACCTATACCTTCTGTCTCATACTAAGTTTTTTTAGGCTATTCAAATTTTACTAGTTAACGTACTTAATAGCTTATTTAGGCTACTAGTTTGATGTCAATATATATATACCTAAGCTGTGAAACAGCTAATTTTCTAAGTTAATTTGACCAATTATTGGACCTTTTTTTCTTCTTATTATGTGGCTGTCTATGTCAGTTTGATAAGCTTAATAGAAGCAAAAGGTGATGTGGTTCTCAGTCCTATTCTTTTGATTTTTTCCTTTAGAATAAGAAATCTGTATATTCCTCTCTACTCATGATTCATGAAGTATTGATGGATGGCTTCCTTGTTATAAATAATGCAATTAAACCACACCCTTTCTATTCTTCTTGCAGTTATGGAATGTTAAATTTGACAATGTCATCCGCAGTTCTGTATAGTTTGGAGATCTTCCTCATCTTTGTATTCCTGTTTATTTTTTACAGGATCTTATTGTCGATCAGTCTAATATGATGCCTCCTATGGGAAAAAAGCAAACTTTGCATCTCGATGTACTTGGCAACCTTCCCGAGAATGTTATTGATGATATTCTTAAGCATTTGCCTTTACAAGATGCTGTGAGGACAAGCTAAAAGGGATTTAACATACACTCTCTCTATTCCTTGTTTGAAATGTTGTCCCAATATTGACAACTTGATTTATTTCCTCTTTAGGAATGGTATTGAGCATCTTGTTCTTGTACTTCCGATGAACAGTGACTGATACGAATTGCCTACCTCATTTTTAACATGTACGCAATTAAGGCAACTGGATCTTGAAAATTGTCTAATACTTCCTCCACCAGCCTTTAGAGGATTTGATAGGTTAATAAGCAAGAAATTAGTTAAGGTCAAATTTCATCCATATTTCTTGAAAGTTTTGTCTTTACTTGCCCATTGCTTGAAGATTTGGTGCTGGAAATGGTAGTTTCTTATAGCGATATCGTTGAATTTAATGCTCCCCTGCTGAGATCACTTGATCTTACAGGCTGTACAAGATCTATCTTTTTAAAGAATATCCCCCTTCTTTCAAAACTTTCACTTATGAATGATGCATATTCTTTGGGGACAGAAAAATGGGATATTGTGAAGTTTTTCGAGTCTTGTTCTGCTCTCCAGCATCTCGACATGGATTGCCTGGTAAATGTTGTTCTTACAGCTATTAGTGCATTTTCTTTTGCGCTTCCGGTCATCCTAACTTTTTGAATTTTTTTCCTAGTGCTTTGCTGCAGGAGCAGGTTTATAACCAATAAAGCTTCCTTTTACTCTGTCAAACATTTTCTCTTATCTGTTTATCTGTGTCGATTGGATGAGGTTTCATGTGCTCTTAGCTTGATTAGAAGCTTCCCATGTTTACAATATAGAGAAATTCAGGTTCTCTTTTCTTTCTTTTTCTTATACACAGTAGCTTCTTTCTTGTTTTCGTACTCCTTAAATCATCAATTACTTAACCTTTGGTTAATCTTTTCTTAGGCGTCTTATGTGGGCGACGATGATGTGTCTGCTCTAGAAATGACTTGAAGTGGAACATTTCTCAGATGTGACATTTAATCACCTCAAGGAAGTTAAGCTAATGTACTTTAATGGGTCAAAGCCTGAGTTGCAGCTTATGAAGCTTTTACTAGCCTGAGTCTCCAGTGTTGGTGAGTATGCTAATCAAGATCTTCAGTCCAGTTAAAGATTCTGCAACAGTCAAAATACTCGCTGAGTTATCAAAATTTCAGCGTGCATCACCTAAAGCAGTATTAGCTTTCTAGACTAGTACTTCACAAGATTACAATCTTGTTTATTGATCTTCAGGCTTCTTTAATCAAACCATATGATCTTAGCTCAAAATTGATCTATGATTTGACTAGTCTGTAACGTAATTTGTCATTACAATTCTATTATGCTAAGGGTTCTTGGGCTCAATTCACGTGTGTTTATTTCAGACTTCAAAGTTAGGTGGTGGGTTGCTGTTTGTTATTTTTCTACTTTGGTCATATCCCTATAGTAAACTTAAAGCCTTCTCTTTGGAGAATTCTTACTAGGTAGTAGGTAGCACTTGCTATTTAACTTTTTCTTTAATGGAGTATAATCTCACAATATCCTCCTGGAATTTCTTCTGTTTTTCATACCAAATGAATTGTTCCAGGAAACTGACTTTAAAATAGTTATTACTATATTACGGTCTTCAAAGTACTTTGCACAATATAATATTGGTAGTGTAAATATAAATTGAAAGCAGACAGCAACTTAAACAAAAAAAGTCAGGATAATTAATTTGAGACAGTGCATGCATCAAGAGTAAGAAAAGGAATAGAATCAATTTATTTCATTTATTGATGTTGAAAAACTCAACAGTCATTCTTTTCCTAGTGAGCTGAAAAGTTTTTCTTTTCGAATCTGGAGATGGATTTAAAAGGCAATGCAAAGTAAAGACTTGAGAAGTTACAAATAGTGGCAACAGCAAAAGCACTGAGGATATAGAAAGGCTGGTTACATTCTTGGTAAGTTTGAAATGCCCTCCTTTTGTCTTCCATCATTTTTTCCCCACTATTGGATGAATTACTTATGCACACGCATTCAGTAATTGACATAGTAAATAATTATGTTCAAAGAACTTAGTTAATCATGGCAAGTATGACCGGTTTTCTCTTTTTGTCAAGTGAGCCCTGAGGATTTTGGCAGATCCTTTGAATAAAGCTATTAAGCTTCATTTGGTAATGCAAATTAGAGTTAATTATTTTTTTGTCAAATCTCGCAAGATGAATACATGTCTTGTTATTATATCTGATCCTTGGATAAGGATTCTAAGAATTGTCGATAGCCTTGTTTAGGGGTGGCAAACAAGCGGGCCGGGTTTGATATTAGCCGATCAAAACGGGTAAAAAACGGATAAATTATCCGACCCGACCTGACCCGTAATTGAGACGGATAAAAAACGGGTTTATCCGGCGGATAATATGGATATCCATATTATCTATGGCTTCTTAAATATGATCAGAATTCCTAGTCTTCCAAATTTGAGGAACTCCAATTTGAAGCTTTACAAATGTAAAAGTTAAACACATTAGTTATCAATTTGTTATCCATTTGGTTAACCATTTTCTAAGTGGATAATATGGTTCTTTATCCATATTCGAGCCGTTTTTAAATGGTTCATTATCTAACCCATTTTTTGATGGATAATATGGGTGGATAACTGTTTTCTTTTAACCATTTTGCCACCTCTAGCCTTGTTCTTCTTTTCTCCCCTTTATTGTTTTATTTTTTTCCGCCTTAGGCATAAAAGCCCTAGCTTTAAGTCTAGCAACCGAATGCATGTAAAAGACCTATGTTCATTGTTTGTTTTGGAATTATATGTTGTATTTCTTTTAATATGTTTTATCTCAAAAAGCAAAAGAAAATGAAGTATGTTGACTGTGTCGCTTTACTTGTTTTTTCATTCTTAGGAAGATATGTCTCCAAAAGGTGTCAAAGGAATTCAATCAGGTGCTGATGGAGATATAATCAGCAACTTGCCACAGGATGTGATAGCTTGCATCCTAGGGAAAATGCCTATACGCGAAGCTGTACGAACTAGTATTCTCTCTAAAAAGTGGAGATTTTTCTACTTATATATTCAAAAGTTAGTATTTGATGACCAATTCTGCAGAGAACTTGAAGGCTTCTTTGTGAAGAAAGGAACTTTTTCTTATATGCTCCAGTTCTATCGATTTGATGAAATTGTCACCAAATCTCTTCTGCTACATCCTGGTGAAATAGAGAGTTTTAGAGTATGCTTTCCTTATGACACTTCACTGGTGCGTCCTGGTGTGAACAAATGGATATTATATTTATCTTGGAGGAAAATCAAGAAATTAACCTTAATAAACAAGTATGTTACTCGTCATAAACTACCTCCTTATTTCTTCTCTTGTGTGGACTTGACATACTTGAAGCTCCATAATTTTGTTCTGTCAGCACCACTAGAGTTTAAAGGCTTCCTAAATCTGTACCAATTACTACTTAAGGGGGTTGAGTTCACGGACAACTGTTTCGAAAGAGTTATTTCTAGCTGCCCCGTTCTTAAAACACTATCATTGCATCATTGCTTTGGTATTCATCATTTTAATATCAGTGGTTCTAATCTCAAGAGGTTGCTTATCAAGGACGATGAGAAATTCAAATCAATCTCCTTAGACAATGCTTCTAACTTGTCTAAGTTTCTGTTTCATTGGAGAGAGTTGTAACACGCACACCTGTTACTGATTTGGTTACATTTGTGAGTACCCTGCCTAAAGTCAAAATACTTCGTCTTAATGGCATGTTTCTGCAGGTATTTAGTGCTATTGAAATTATTTCTACACGGCTTTATTTTCCTATTACTTTAACCAAGCTTGTATTTTACCTTCACAACTAACACTATAAGGGTTCCAAGAATTCTTATTTTTTAATTTTATGTGATTAAATTGTGTTTTCACACATCATTAATGTTTCAGCTCCTAGATGAAACTCCTGTTCTGCCAACGTTATCGCCATCGTCAGACTCTCTAAAGATTCTTGAACTCAGAGGTGTGAACTTTATGGACTTAAATCAAATATCTGTAGTTGTCTGCCTACTTAGAAGTGCTCCCAACTTGCAAGAACTCTATGTAGAGGTAAGTTGCGAAGCTCCATCTAATTCATGATAATTTGTTTTGGAAACAAATAAGCGCTTATTATGTTTCTGCTTTATTTTTGTGTAGGCTTCTACAATCGAGCTAAACCAGGAACAAGTCTCGGGTTATCTAAAATGCTTGGACTGCACAACTTTTCCCCTTAGCAAGCTTCATCTGGTCAAATTAACGAATATCTCAGCTTTCATTCCTGAGTTTGAGTTTATGCGATTCATTCTCTTTAGCTCGCCATCAATTGTGATAATGAACATCCTGGAGCACCCAGAGCTTGAGGCAGAAAAAGCATTGAATATAGCTAGGAAGCTGCTCCAGTTGCGGTCACCATCAGCAGTGTCTATAGATTTCTCTAGGGATAAGTAGTATCATAATCTGAGTTTCAGGGAACTGGCATTGGTGCATGACCTGTGGTATGTTGACGTTCCAATTCTTTTGGTTGGCTAGGATAAAAGAATTCAGACGAAATACTTAATTATGTGCAGAAGAAAAGAATTTCCCCTTTAAGTCATTCTAGCTAACAAGATGCGTGACATTTATAGTAAGTTTGGTAATACTTTACTTGCTGCACAGCTGACATTTATGATTTCAATTCTTAGTCCTTTCCTTCAATGCTTTGTGGTTTCATATTTTCGTTTTGTATTTCAGCAAAAAGTTATTGGAACTTTGTAACTTTGAGCAAAGTGGCTTTATTAAGTTCAAAATATTGAACCATTCAAGGGTGTACTAACTTCGAACCAATGGTGCTTCGACTTATATATGTTTAACACAAACTCAGTGGCTGAGCCAGGAATTTCATTAAGGGGAGTCAAGATATAAAGAAATAAACTCATCAAGAAGTCAAGAGGTGTCAATACATAGTATATATACATATTTCAAAAAAAAAAAAAAAACTAGCTACATTGTGTAATTTTCCAACAAAGGGGAGTCAGTTGACACCCCTTGAGTGCATGTGGCTTTGCCACAGCGCAAGGATGAATTGTCATATACAATTAAAAACTGGTGGAATTCATTTACATAAGTCTAACACTATCAATGATTTCAGGTGTTATTGCTCAGCTAGTTTTGATAATCCTTTACTCGGTACAGGGAGCAGAGTTTTTAGATGGTATTTCTCCAGCTGGTGACAAATAATGCACAGATGTTAATTGTTTTAGTGACTGATTTGAATCTAACATTTTGTTAAAATTTCTTAGTTTTTTGAAGAGCCAAAATGAGGGAATCTAACATTTTGTTAAAATTCCTAACTATACCATATATGAAACCTTATTACCAAAAATGTGCATTGTTTGTTATTACCCGCCCAGTCCACGTTTTGCCTACAAATTTTGTACCATTCGACTATTAGGCATTAAACGGGCAAAATATTCCCTAAAATTAAGGAGAGAATCTTGGTGTTAATTGATTCTACATTAAATTCAATTTTTAAAAAGGGAAAGGAGACTTCTCATCTGCGTATTTTTCTCCAGAACTACAATTCAAATTCTCGAAAAAAAAAAGAACGAACAATTCAAATTTTTGAGTTTCAACAACTCACGGGAGGTTTGAGAGACTTCAATACCAAGTTCCGTTGCAGCAGGATTAGGGGTGTTTGAGGATCCTGATCCACCACCCTCTACATATACCCTTATATTCTACTGATCCTCCCACCGCAACTGATCAACCCCTTCAACATCTTCAAGGCTAAGATCAAAATGAAGTCAATAATTAAAGTCCTTTCTAGTATCGCTAAACCACATCTTAACTGCATTTTTCTATAAAAGAAAATGGCATACGATTTTATCTGCTTTGCTTTCCTCAAGATGCAGCAAGCATGATGTCATATCTGATTCAAAAAAACAAGCACCAATTAAATGGACATAAAGTGGAGAGTTCAAAGGCAGATCAACGACAATAACTTAAAGCTTGTAAACAACAACAAAAATGAGAAGAAAAAAATAACAACAATAGGTCTTCTTAGTTTTATAATATTATCTACAAATTTACTACATATATCTACAATTTGACTACAATTTCTTTATTTGGTGCAGGAAAAAAATATTTTAATATACAGTGTCTCCAGATTGTAGATAAATTGTAGGCAAATTGTAGTTTACTTATAGTTTGTAGTTAATTTGTAGATAAATTGTAGATAAAATATAGATATATTGTAGATACTATATTTTGAAAAATTTTGTAAATTTTTTTTCTTTGTGTTTGTTCTGAAAATGTACGTGAGGGCTTCAACAGATCATATACATACTGTGTTGGATGGTGTGAAGCGGTACATTGTGTGTCTAGAAAATAAGAAATGTAGCTGTGGCCAATTCCAACTTGAAGAACTTCCATGTGTAAATTGTTTCCAGATTGTAGTTATAATGTAGGTTAGATGTAGTTAATTTGTAGTTTTTGTAAAATTTTGTAGACAATTTGCAGATTAATTGTGGATGTCACATTTCTACAATTTGCTCTTCATCTACAAAATTTCTACAAAAAACTACAAATAAACTACAATTGCACCCACACTGTCACACTTATATTGGGTCAGATGTTTGTTAACCAAGTTTTTTCCTAGTTTGGTCAAGAACTTGTGTGTCAGTGCCGGATAAGTGTGACACTTGAAGAATCTCTACCTTTAAAGAACCTCTAAATTGCCTAAAAAGACAATTTATTTAATATTGAAATAATATAGACAAAACGGAGCCGGAGGTTACAGAAGATTCATATGGCTACCCCACAAATTTACAATTGAGAATTGTTGATTGATCGATTGAGGAAGTCTTCTGTGTTCATCGTCTAATTCAACTTCGCTTATTGCCTCCATTTTCAAATCTTCCTCCATCTTTGAGCCTTTCTTCTACTTCGCTAACCCCAACAGAGACGCAGAGAAACACTTCGAAGATTTGATTAATTTGATTTGATTTTACCGCTGGTATTTGGTATTTGCCGGAGTGAGAGATTACTTCCATATGTTTAAAAGCAAGGGATTGTTACGGCGCTGGTCAGATCTTAGGAATTAAGGGGAGAGAGAAACGTAAGATATATGGATACCTTTAATTAAGGAGTAAAAACTGCCCATTAATTAGACCCTTAATTAAGTATGGTATATGATTGGTAATTTGGTATACGGGTTTGTAATTAAATCAAACCTTAAACATGGAGGGTAAAAAGGTTTCCTATATGGTATAGGAATGTAAAAATTCCTTCATTTAATGCCTTCCCTAAAATTTGTATTCACCTTTCCAAAAGGCTATTAGTATAGCTATAAAAAAAAATCATATTAATTTGGACAACCAGCACAGATTTCTCCTGCAAATTAAAACCAACTTTTCACATCAACACCGGCCTATTTACAAAGTTTAGAAAAAATGGAAGACTTTAATTTTGGGACTTATATTTTCAAATATGTTATTATATTGGTGTTATTATAAAAATTTCTCAGGGTAAAATAAGAAACTGGTAGACAGACCATTAATATAATTTTACGTGCACACATGCAGACCGCAGTCCATCAATATATATATATATATATATATATATATATATATATATCAAACTGTTTCTAAATTTAGAAATGAGTCATTCTTTTTGGGACTAATAGCCTATTTGACCAAGTTTCTAGAATCAGTTTATTTTAAGATGTGTTTTTCAAAAGTGCTTTTCTTCTTAGTACTTTTGGTGAGAAGTAGCTTGTGTTTGACTACTTAATTTGAAAAGTCATTTTGAGTAGCAATTAGTGTTTGGTCAAGCTTTTAAAAAATGCTTCTAACTCAAAAGTGCTTTTCAATAAAATACTTTCGGAGAGAAGCTACTTTTTTTTGCTTCTCAAAAACTGCTTCTGTTTCTCCTCAAAATTTTTTTTCTTCCAAAAGCTTGACCGAACACCTTAATTTTAGCAAAAAATACTTTTGATTAAAAAAAAAGCTTCGTCAAATTGACTCAAAGAGAAATAGGATCACATTATTAAAAAGAATGGAGAATATTTTTCTTAATCATTACTCAATTGAATACTCAAGTGAAAAACTGAAATACTAAAATGCCCTTATAAAGCTAAATGACACTATTAACCGTATATTAAATGCTATTGTAAGTAATATTTTTGGAGAGATCTGTAAATACTCATGAAATAAATACTATATCCGATATAAATGCAATAGAATGAATGTGATGCACATTCACTATCATACTAAATTACTAGCATACCTCCTAATTAAGATTGGCTCTTCGTATTCTGGCATTGTGTTATTAGATTAATATTGTTATTTTATGGGAAAAATTTCACATAAGAACAACTAGACTCCCTACTTTTCAATTTTATAGCTCATATATCAATTTACAACTAACCTGCCCAAAAATAATAGGCTAAGATTCAACATTCAACTCTAATAGGTTCTCAAAATTACTATTTAATTTTAAAAAAAGATTGCTCAAGCTTTTAAGTTAATTTTCGAATCAGTAACTGTGACTCAAATATTAGTTCAACAAACAAATCCATTTGGGTGGTGAAAATTAGATTTTTAACAAGCTTAAATATGTGGGTTTAAATTCTGAATTTGATTTTTTGAGAAATTTGGGGTGGGCGTTATTTAGACTTGTTAGAAATAGTACAAGGAGGTTGTATATATAATTTGAAGTCATTTAATGGAGATTTGGACTGGTTTTGAACAAGAATTGCAACTGAAAATCGTGGAAGAAGTTTGTCTACAGACGCTTGTATAAAGGTGTATAAAAGTGTATAAGATTATTTATACACTCATATACACTATTATACAAGATTATACATAATTATACAAAAAATTGAGTTCGTCTTCTTTCTTGCGTCTTTTATGAAATTTAACTCATCTTGTTCAAATCCACTCCAAATCACTTCAAATTTAAATTTTGAACTCCTTTTGATATTTTCAATCAATTGGAATAATACCCAATCCAAACAACTAACAAACTCAAAAAGTCCTATTTTCGAAAGCAAAGCTTTTGAATGGCCTTTAATGGTGGACTTCTACTCTTCAATTTTTTTACATTGCAACTAGGTAACATAGGGGGAGAAGCAGTAATGGCAGACATCCCCTTGAAGTATATGTAAAAGATGTGAGAAGAAGAGAGAGTGAAAGCAATGGTTGTGAAAACACAAATTTAACTCCATAGCTTTTAGAAACAATGGTTGTAAGAACACAGATTTTGAATTTGCAAGAACTACTGTTTTCAAAACATGTACAATATGGGCTAGATCGGGTAAAACTTAAAAACATGGACCATTTTTTGTTATGGTGTGAAGTCATGTGTATTTTCTTGTAATTTTTTCCTATTTTATTGCTATCGATTGTTTCATATTATTGATTTCCTTTCAAGTTTGAAGATATTCACGAGCTTTGTTTATTCACCTAGGTAGTTTTTAATAATGTTACAACTAATCTTTCTAGGAATATAGGTGCAGAGCAATTGGAAGGCTCAAACTAAAAATTAAAAGATCTAAATGCCCGGTTGAGCTATATTTTTACCTTTTAAAGATACTTTACCATCTTAAGAATGATACATAAAAATATAATATTACTAAATAATATAGAAATTATAGGGGCTAAATCAACTTCGTATGCTTTAGTTATCAAATTTTGGTGTAAGGAAGAGTCCTGCCT